GGCACACACTTCCCTGCCAAGGAAAGCAGCGTTTCCCCTCATTGAGTGCTGCTTGATAGATCCAGGGGGGAAGGCGGTGAATGAAGGAGGGTTTTATGATTTCCTGTGCTAACCTTTGGTGTTGTCTTTTACTCTTCAGGGCAGCTCGTCCCTCGTCTCCACCTCATCCAGCCTCCTCTCTGTGCGTCGCGCTGCCTCGGCGTGTGCGCTCATGTTCAGGCTTCCTCTCGCCCGTGTTGTCCGTTTTTAGAGTTTATGGTCACGGCCGTGGCGTCAGCGTCTGTGTTTTATTGAAGCAGCTGGAGGAGCTGGCTGCCAGGCCGACAGCGCTGCTCCTCTGAGCTGTGCTGATGGATCCATGTCTGAAGTCTGTCTGTGAACTGGCAGCTTGCATCTGGGTTCAATAAAGGTCCGCAAGCCGCAAAGACTGCATTAGATGGATGTATTTGGAGAGTTTTAGGCTTGTAAAGATATATGTTTCACGTTTCAACACCCATCTTTCCTGTGACTTAGTCTGAGGCCCCTCGGCTCCTTTTCCTGTGAGACGGGTCAGCCTAATGGGTTCTGGTGTGTTGTCTAGACCTTTTCTTTTTTTTTGACGTCCATGTTAGATTATTGTGTGATGTGTTTAAATGGGCCAGACGTATCTGGAGAACAGTGGACTCTGTTTTTAGTGACCTGTGGTTTAGAGGAGGGTTGGCTTCAGTTTTTCCATGTTTGGACGTGGTTGAATTGGATCGATGTCAAAGAGCCACAGTCCACGGCTAATGGTCCGTCAGGGTTTCAGATACAAGCTCCGTGTTTTTGGGACGGCGAGGTGAGTCTGGTCGGGCTGAGCTGACCTGGGTGGGGGTTGTGGCTGTAGTGGGATTTCCACGGCTCTGGGTATCCAGGCTAGGCAGAGGCGTTTAGCTAATCCTCTTAGCCCCACTCTGTAACACACAGACACAGACTGCCTTCTCTTCCTGATCAGCCACCCCCAGCTCTAAAAACTCACACTCTGGGATGGCTGCTCAGACTGCCATGCACTGACAAAAGCCTTTTCTGTCTTTACATGTGCACACCAGAGCCAGCAGGAGGCACACACACCAAATGTTCCTGTGGGTCATCGCTAGCGCTCCCTGTCTTTTCTTTCCTACTCATGCTGTCCAATCTGAGTGGAGGTATGCTAGTAGATCAGTGTGTCAGCGAAGCAGTAATCTGCTTGGCCGCTGTACTTCTCTGGGTTGGCAGATGGGACGGATATCCCTACCCGCCATCTGGACAGCCTGGCATGGACGAGATGCGGTCGTGGCCTAGTGCAGAGCGAGATCAGGGGATTACTGTCTTCCATGCTATCCCAGCAGCGCGGCTATTTTTACGGACATGTCAAATAATGAGCGTGCCCATGTGACCAGGGCTGACATCCATCAAGCGTGGCATTTCATCTACAAGCCCGATACGAGTGTCTTGTTTTGCTCCGTGTACCAGAACAAGAATCTGTGGGTTTAAATTCCTACAATGAGCTTATAGATTTGGGTGTTTGAAATGTCACAAAGGCAAACCAGCGGAGGCATGATGGTCCGCTGTGCCGTTCTGGGGATTGTATGCGAGGCTCCTCCGGTATTTCATGACCTCCAACCACGAGGTCACGTTAAGCGTCGACGAGAGCCGCTCATTTCTCCTTCAGCTGTCCACCTTGTCCGTCAGACGGAGCTAAACAGTTTCCAACGCCGTTCTGCATTTCTGGCTGGTCGAGTTTATAGACTTCGGCCTCAAAACTGAATGTGGTCATCCTGCAAATGAATGTTTTCCAGCTGTTATAACGGAGTAAGTGCAGGGTGAAGTGGCTGCAGCGGGGATGTGAGGAACAGACGAGAAGTGGAAATAATAATGGGAGAGAAAACAAATCCTTTTGGTTCGGCATAACTTTCATTCTGAGGGCGAATACCAAACTAAGAAGACAAACATGAGACTGGAGGGGAACACTGTGTTCAGCTATATCCTGAACATGAACTCGACGTGGAAGGGAGCTGGAGAGAGGGGAGGGAAAACACACCAGAGAGCCTGTAGAGGAATGTACGGGAGGACGTTGAAGAGGGGAAGAAAGGAACACATGCATCGCTTCAATCAGCTGAGGTGGCTGCTTGGAAGCTGCTGGAGGATGACTGGTCACATCATGTGTGAATATTTCAAGCGCAGCCTCATGGAGAGCTTATTTTTATCACTTGCTGTTGCACAAATAAATTGGGACCCAAATGGCATCCTTGAAGTTGCTGCAGGGACGGCATCGCTTATCGGTCCGTCCACCATGTTGGTCCACATCCAGATGTTTCCACAACAACGGGACGGATTGCGGTCACATGTACAGAAATCCAGTCGGCTCAGAGATTGAATTAACATTCAGATGGACCAGGAACAGATGAGTCTCTGCACTCTGTGGTGTTGCATTAAAACTTTAGGACTCCTCAGTGAGCTCTTGTTGTTTTCAGAGAAAAGTTGTTTCTCCAGTCAGACACCT